TCTGGATGGCATCCATTCCCTCCAGTGTGTCTACCGCTCCACACAGCTTGGTGTTGTTGGCAAACCTGCTGAGGGTGCACTTGATCCCACTGTCCATGTCACTGACAAGCATGTTAAACAGTGCCAGTCCCAATACTGACCTCAGAGGAACGTCACTCATCACTGGTCTCCAGTTGGACATTGAGCCATTGACCACAACTCTTTGAGTGCAACCATCCGGCCAATTCCTTATCCATCACGTAGTCCATCCATTCAATCCATGTCTTTCCAATTTAGAGACAAGGATGTCATGCGGGATAGTGTAGAAGGCCATGAAATTTGTCAGGCATGATTTGCCCTTAGTGAAGGCATGTTGGCTGTCACCAGTCACCTCCTTATTTTCCATGTGCCTGAGCCTAGTTTCCAGGAGGATCTGCTCCATGAACGCTGCTCATTTACAACCTTTATTGTAGAATATTTTCATTATTATTCAGTGCTTTTGCCCTCTTCCATTTTGAAGGTTAAATTTATCAGAATTGTTTATGCAGAATATAAAACAAAATTTTCTGTGGAAAATCTGGAGGAAGGGGTACTTGGCAGTTCAGCAAGTAACAACTAAAAAGCAAGGTATTTAAAAACCTGCTGAATAAGTATTTTGGAAATTCAGGTGTGCCATGGAAGCATGCATTTGAAGTGCTTCATAGAAGATGAAATTGTGTTTATAAAGTTCAAAAAGGTGTCTGTCTTTGCCTGTATACTAAACATTCATATGGACTGTTTCTTTAACATTTTTCTTTTATGACAGTATAATACACAGGTATTTTTGGAGGGCAGATTGTTTAAACTCAATCTTCGTGAGTCTTCATGTTTCCTTATTCAGAGCCCATGTGTGCATGCTCACCTGTATTAATGTGTAATAAGATAGGAAAAAAGCAAGTGGTAAAGAGGCTTTATTAGGACAGGCTTGTGACTGTGTGTATTGTCACACTGCTGAATCTTCTGACAGTTTTAAAATTTGAAAAGGAAAATTTCCATATAGCATTACAAAATTTGGGTTCTGTAAATGCCACATTTTAGAACCTTTACAAGAAGTTTGGAAGGCTTTTGTTCTTTCCTGAGATATTTTGTTGGAATTGTGTTTTCATTCTTACTCTCATCAAGCCTAGCCAAGAACCCTAATGCATAGGACTTTGAGGGAGAGAGAAAGTGTAAGTAATACATATCCAGAAATCTCAAAAAAATGCCCACTTCTAAAAACTCCTCTCTGCAAAGTCACAGACTTGCAGCTGGAACTGTCAGGACTGAAAACAAGTGCTCAATATCTTACATCACAGTTTTAGATTTTTATAGTCCAGATGGATTTCAAGATCCTGGGTCTGAAATCTGTCAGTGATTAAGGAATATATAACTTGGACAATGCAACTTGAGGGGGAAAGAAACATTTCTTTGAAAGGCGGTTTTGAAAACAATGTAATTGGAAGTAGGTGCTATTTAAAGTAAATTCTGAGATTTAGAAAAGTATAGTAATGGATAAACATTGCAATAAACCCTATTTTATAGTATAAAACAATAATGCAGTTGTATATTTTGTTTTTTGTTGTGGCATAGTGGTGGTTCATTTAAAGCAATGTGGTCAGCAAGAGGAATTTGTAGCTTCCTCTCTTTTCGTAAAAAAAAAAAAAAAAGTTGAGACAAAAGTAAGTTAGTGGAAAGAGTTGAATATTTAGAGTAAACTTGAGGCTATTTATCATAGCTTTTATCACCACCAGTGGATGTATAGACAATTTTTGTATTGACCTAATAAATAACGTCAGTAATTTTAACTTTTTAAGGTCTCTTTCTCACTTTCCTTGAACTCCTCACCTCACTTCCCTATTTTCCTGTTGAACTGCTTTTTTTTTCTCATTTACCCATGAATCATCTTCCTTTCTGTCTTATCTGGTCTTTTCCCATCACAAAACCATTTTTCCCTACTAAACTTGTGCCTCATTCTCCTTTTTTTAAGAAGAGCTGAAACCCTCTCTTCCTTGTTCTTTATCTGAGGCATTTACAACCTTTACTTTATTGAAGAATATTTTTATCCCACAACCTCAGCATTGATGGACTTTCAATTCTTTAGTACTCTTCAACTATCCACTTGTGGAAGATGTAGTGACTTACAACTGCTGTCATCTCAGAAAAGTTGAAACTACTCTGAGATTTTGCCTATGTTGCAAGGCCCAGTAAGAACAGTGAAGCTAAAGAGAGGGCAAAATTACCTTCTCTGTGATCTGGACTATGTATAGATGAAATAGATGTAATTTCACTTTAAAGTGTCAGGAAGAGTGGAGGAGGAGTAGATTTGGTGTCACAGAATCACGAACAGTGGCATGGTCTTTGGAGTTCAGTGATCCATGGCTTGCTAAAGAATATGGTAGTGAGCCAGAAGATTTCTTGATTTATTTTAAAGGTTTTTTAGGCTTTTCAAAATGGTAAGAACATTATTTCTGCTCCACCATGCCAGAGTGAAGTGGGTAAATACCGTTACCTCTTTTCACTCTTGGTGGACATCTTTAAAATCTAGCTGACTGTTGTACATTGCCTGAAGGATTGCTCTTCATATTTTTTCTCTGACATGCTAAGTATTTTTGGAAATCTCACCAAAAATCTATGCCATCTCTTTTCATTGATGTATTGTGAAGCTCAAGGAAGTCTTTATTAAGTGTTGTTAAAATTCAGACTTAAACTTGCATTTGCAAGTGCTCTAAGATACGAGCACTGTTCGCTTCGAAACTGTGCTTGCTTTCCTGGAATTTCATAGACTAATAGTCTTCAGCAGCTTCTTCAGAAGGTGATTTCTATTCTTGCAATTGATGTTCCAAGTTCTTGAGCATCCAAGATGGTAAAAGGTATTGAATGTTCTTTGTCTGGCTCAAACTTTAATCTATATAAATTACAGAGCAATTGTACAGAACTTTGATACCATCTGGTTCTATTTCTGTACGTTGTTAGGTTTTGGCAAAGAGGGCCTGTATCAGTGAACAGGTATTCCTTGACATGTGTGCATCAAAAGAAATTTATAATATTAAGCTGTAAAGTAGGCAGACTTCACTGCATGAGTTTCGCAATGAAATATTTGTCCAACATGCTAGTGAAACAGTACCACACCCTGATGCTTCTGTATTGTATTTCATATTTTAGTTTGAGGTATTCCAAATGTGAGGGTAATTGTTATTGACTATATAATCATAGTTCTTCTCAAAGAATAGCTCATGAGACTATGTGGATATCCCAGGAAACTTTAGATTGTACTTTTTTTCTTGTAGAAAATACAACAGCTATCCTGATTTGAGAGAGACATTTTTATAGTCTATGTACTGTTAAAGAAATTTGATGGAATTTAGATTTGACTAACCAGAGGGGTAAGTTTGTGATCCTGTTACCTGTTCCAGGTTATATGTCTCCACACCCATCTCCACTAGGAGCACCAGAGCATGTGTCCAGTCCCATGTCTGGAGGAGGTCCAACTCCACCTCAGATGACTTCCAGCCAGCCAGGACCCATTATACCAGGAGACCCACAAGTTATGAATCAACCTAACAGAGGTCCTTCCCCTTTCAGCCCTGTACAGCTGCATCAGCTACGGGCTCAGATACTGGCATACAAAATGTTAGCTAGAGGTCAGCCTTTACCAGAAAACCTCCAGCTTGCTGTTCAGGGCAAGAGGACCCTGCCTGGCATTCAGCAGCAGCAGCCTCCCAGTGCCTTCAACAGACAGCCTGGTAAGTGAATCTAGGCCTTGTGTCATTGTGCAGGAAATTCTTAGAGATCTACCTGTGGAAAATTAAGAAACAGGTGTCATGCAGGGCTACAATTTGGAACTGTATTTTGGGATCTAAGTGAACAGCAGCCTTTGGTTTTAAGCTCGAGCAAGTGCATAAAACACATCTATTATTAATAGGATATTGTAAAAACTGAAATAGAAGTGACTTCACTGTACAGTACTGTGTCTATCCTGATTATGCTTCACATTTTTTGAATGTTAATTATACTTTACTGATCGCAATTTTACTGTTTTTCTTAGAGTGAATTTTCAGTCTCCTGTTGCTATGCAGAAAAATAGATAAAAAAGTCTGGAGCAAGTTGACTGATTATTTAGGTTGTTCAAAGTAAAACAAACGATGTATGGTGTGCTGTCAAGTGCAAAATGTAAGGAAAAGAAAGTGTGGTTGGTTGGTTTGTTTTTTTTTTTCTCCTCATGACAATAGTGCAGTAAGCAAGCACATTTTGGTCCTAAGAAAACTGTGTTACATTAAACGCCCAGCACCTGTTAGTTTCTGAACACTTCCATTACTGAGTTTGCATTAGAAATCAAGGGTTAAGATGATACTATTTTCTTTTTAGTAATGATTTTTATAATTTCACTGGTAACTTCATTTCAGTGGATATGGCTTTGCTGCTGAGTGAGGGGGTTTTTCTTAGGACATTTGATTTTAATATGCTCCTTTACATGAATTTTTCCTACTTAAATCCATATTTAATAAAGAAAAATACTACTTGCCTGAATAGACTAGCATGCTAGAAAGCAGTATGATTTTTGAATACTTGAAAGTGCTTTGTATCTTAATAAGTTTCTTTCCTCTGTCAAATTGCAGGTATTGGGTTGCATACAATGAGTGGTGCTGCAACTGGACCGGGGCCTGCTCCAGCGGTGCCTGGACATACAACTGCCATTACCCCTAAAACTTGGACTGAAGGTATACTGGAGTATAATGCTAATTTTATGTCATGTACAGAGCTACGATTAAACAGTGTGGGTAGAGTTTGGGGAAAAGATGCAGGGAAAAAGGGAAGATAAAATGGCATGCAGAAAAATAGTGTAATCTTACTGGGCCTAGGACTTGATTCAAGGAGAGTGTAACCATTTATTCATCCATGAATGACTTGACCACATGAAGTTACTGCAATTGTTAGGGAGCCTGAACTTGAAGCACCTTTTTACAATCAGAATGAAATAGGTAAGCTGCTTGAGAGACACCCGTAAAATCTGCTTAATAAGTTGTGTTCTGAATGTGCATAATTGCAGCAAGCTTGTTTTCAACTATAGTCTTTGCTACTGTGAACAAAAGTTTTCAAACCATGGTAAAATTAGACTGCCTTGTTTTTTTTTTTAATTGGATTGCTTTGAAAGTTCAGTGTAGTCCGTGAGATCTAGTGAACAGTGTAACTTTTTTCCCCCTGTGTGATAATCAGGTTTTGAACCAAATCCTTCAGATTTGGGTTTACAGGCTGATTTTATTGTTGTAAAGTGGAGCGGAAGAAGTATTGTATTGGAAAGAATTAGAAATCCCTAGTAATATATATTGTTGGAAGTTTTGAGGGTTTTTTAGAGAAACTTGAAAATAAATACAGTATCGCATGCAGGCTTGCAAATAACATAGGCTTCTCATATGGTGGAGATGTTATGCTATATTGTTGCTTGTGGGTAAATCTGGGGACAGTGATGACTCTGTGACAGTTGATGTCATAAAAAATTCTCTGTCATTGGTCAGCTACTTAGGACAAAATAAAAAGAAAACGAAATGCTAGTATATAATAGAATTCCTTTTCTTGGAATACTCCCAATGAATAATTACAATTTGAGTAGGATAATAAAGAGGGGCAAAGGTGTTTCTTAAGAGGTTATATGTATGAGTTTACCAGGCACTGTGCCTTCTAGCTCAAGTGCTGCTACTAAAAAAATGCTGGCAGGTATACAGAATTGCTAGATGGATAGTTTTATCTAAATAATCCAGTATGTCATAATAATACATCTGTCCTGTTTAACTGTAAGCTGTGTACTATTTTGTCTTTTTTCATTGCTGTTTTTTTTATAAGAGAAAACTTGTTTGTCATAGCTATATCTGTTTTATTTGATGTATTTTTAAAGATTGTGCTTATTTCTTTAAATTTATTTTTCATTCATTATGCAGTTGTTCATGGTAGTGTCTGTTTTACAGCTCAGTTTGCATGATTCCCTGAAAACTGAGACTACACAGAGGCTTTTGCTATTCTTGCTTTCTTTCCTTATTTTGTATAAGCTGAAATGCAGTGTTGCTAAATACAGAATTTACAGCTCATGGTCAAGCTCCTTTTCTGGAGTTTGATGCAGATGTTTGAATGACAAATGGTGATCTCTGAAGGCATCTTTTTATCTAGATTTCAGGATATTGGGTTTGAATTAAGGTTGATTGCAAGATTGCAGGGGTACTTTGTAGTTCTTTTTCCTAGCATTATATTAACTATGACTCCTCAGACAATTAAGTTACGTACATCTTTATTGTTGCAATGCCCGTTGTCAGTGACAATTTTTGAACATCTGAATGCATGGGTGACTTGTCGTAATGGCATACTGAAATCTATGACCCTTAGTGTCTATAAATGGCAGGTACTATTTTCATGTTAACTGAGGTTAATTTTCAAGATTGTTAGAATGCCATAAGAAAAAAACAGTAATCAAATTCCTGGTATTTTAAATACTTAAATATAACTCATAGGAGATTGTAACAACACAAAGGCTATTTATACATGACAGGTACTTCTAAGTACATTTGTAGAAATTTTAATATGGCTGTTTAGTTCTGAAAGAGCTCTAAAACCAGACCTGCTTGTGCTTGTTGTCAGGTTGTGATTATAGATGCCTTTTAAGTGGTACAAGGATAGTGAACAAAAGGCAGAATTAGGTCCTACATTTGCACGAAATCAGTTCTCCAGCTGTTTTACTTCTTCTAACACTAGAATTAAAAGTCAGCAGGAGTGGGGAAGGAAATGGCATGTGTCATAAAGTTTCAGGTGTTTTGTTTTTCTTTGGACCACTTCCTGCAATGTATGGTATACTTGCACTTTCATATGTTTATTCAAATACAGACTGTAGTATATCTCAGTGTACTTTTTCTGGTAATGTTGAATGTTTACCTTAGCTTCACATTCTGTCATCAGAAACCGCCTTGATTTTCTCCCCGCGTTCCATATTTCATATGAATAAGTACTTTTTATGATGCAGGCCAAACCCCAGATATGAGTGTCTCCAACGCGCAGCAGAAGCTTCCAGCACCTCCCCCCAGTGGGAGGCCTTCTCCTGCCCCCCCTGCTGCCCAGCCTGCTGCCGCCTTGCCTGGGCCGTCTGTACCACAGCCACCGCCTGGACAGCCTTCGCCCATTGTTCAGCTGCAGCAAAAGCAGAATCGCATCAGCCCTATCCAGAAGCCACAAGGACTGGATCCTGTTGAAATACTCCAAGAACGTGAATATAGGTAAAAGTGAATAACAAGATTCAAGTGCATGTGCAGACTGTTGTTTTTCACTTTCTCAACTGAAACACCTTGCAATCAACTTCTGCAGTGACAACAGTAAAACCTGAGTTTCCAGAGAGAGACCATGTCAAAGAGAAGTACAGAAACAACAATCCAAACAATGACTTAGTTCTACCCCAAGTTATGAACTAGTAAAGCTTACTGGCAGTGTCACTGCAAACCAAGTAAGTTTAAAACAGGCTCAAGCACTTTTCTGAGTTAGTGTATTACTTGGATGCTGCAAATGCCGAAAGTTAGGAAATCAAAATCCTCGTAATCTAGAGAGAAACCAGTTCAGTGCAGAAAGTTTTCAGAATTATAAGCAAAAGGGAAGTTCGAAGAGAACAGTGGACGTCAAAAGGCTGATGAGTTAGTGGCCACAGCAAAACCAGATTTTATTAGCGATGATGGGGTTGGTGGCATTACCAAAGAGCAGAAAGAATATTGAGGAGGTCACAGGCAAGATTAAAAAAAGATGTTACCAGGAAGCATCATCTTTAAAAGTTGCCTCCTGACTGCCCTAATTAGATGATGAATTATATTAATTATGAAGTATAGAGGATGAAATTTCTTGTGGATTTAGAGAGAGACTTCTTCCCTCTTCCCATCAACAAGTTATTAAACAGTTGACCTTGAGAATCTGCCAGGCAAAAGGATCTTGACCTGCACCTAAAATATGTTCCTGAGCATTACCAGTCAGAGGGAGGAAACTGCACTTAGCATATTTGCTTGTTTTGGACTGATGATGTATCTTCCAGTTACTGTATCAATGAGTTTGTAGTGGAAGGTAGCCAAAAGGGATGGTGATCTCACTGAAGACTGGTTTAATGACGTTAGCTTTCTGAAGGTAAAACACTATGAAGTGTTTTAGGATGTGGTGCCATGTCCAGAATTCAGGCCTTGATCCCAGAAAAGCTCTTACTTTTTGCATAAGATAATTTATTGGCATGTTGTTGCAGTCATTCTGTCAGTCTTACCCTTTTTACCTTAGGACTGAATGACCATACCTGTTTCAGCATGAGCGATCACTATTTTCTAACATCTTTTTCAGAAAGCTTGTAGAACACACCATTATATGGTTTCACAGTTGCTCTGGGTGGAGAATTGTAGCACTAACTTGAGCGAAGAATGGCGTGGCCAGTGTAATGTAACCTTTTCTCTATCAGTTAACCTCAAATTGTTACTCCTCCTGTCTTTCCAGTGCTGCTCCATTGCAGCATTTCTGCCAAAGTATTATGTCTTAGTATGCATAAATGGAGGAAAATGGGGAGTGACAAAATAATGGTGTTGCATTTACTAATGTGGAGAACCAGTTGCAGATACAGCATATCCATTAGGTTCTAAATACCCTGATCTTCTTGTCAGAGTAGGTGAGGTGGAAGTTTGATAGGAATTTGGGAGCAGAGGATTTTATTTTTTATTTTTTACAGTAGCACATAGATAATGATCCAAGCTGTTGCACTGTTGAACACTGCTGGGATTTGGTTTTCTTTGTGTATCAGAATGCTTAGAACTTCCAGAAGTCTTTTCATTGTTTAAAACTCTATAAGTAACATTAGACAAAAACTTTGAAAAAAGCAGTTTAACAGCTTTTGTGCTTTGGACAATGCAAGACTTAGCTTTAGTACAGGCAAGTTTAGTAAAGAAACATGATGTATTCAGACTTTCTTCATAAAAAGGGAATAGAAAAAAGCCAATATAAACATTTGTATACTGAAACTAGTGAAGTCAGTGAAAGCTCTATGACATGGTTGTCTCTTGTGATCTCTCAGTAGTTAACTTTTTTTAATAAAAAAAAAAGGGGCATTATACTTTGAAATACTTGGAAAACTCTTTGAATTACTCATGTTCATGAAAACACAGAATTATCACGTGGGTATTTTAAGGATTTATGTTTCAAACCTATAGATAGACCCAAAAGGTGAAATGTTGGTATACTGCCTTATAGTGGGAAAGTGTGAACTTTGAATCTGATTAAGTTAGGAATTCTTAAAAACTACAGATTAGGTTTACTTAGTGACTGTACTGGTTTTGGCTGGGACAGAGTTAAATTTCTTCATAGCTGCTAGTATTATGGGGCTATGTTTTGGATTTGTGCTGAAAACAATTTTGGTAATATGGGGATGTTTTAGTTCTTGCTGAGCAGTGCTTACACGAAGTCAAGGCCTTTTCTGCTTCTCACCCCACCTCACCAGTGAGTAGGCTGGGGATGCACAAGGAGCTGGGAGGGGACACAGCTGGGACAGCTGACCCCAACTGACCAAAGGGATATTCCATACTGCATGTCATTGTCATGCTCAGCAATAAAACTGGGAGGGAGTTTGACGGGCCTGCTGCTCTAGGGCTGGCTGGGCATTGATCGGTTGGTAGTAAGCAATTGTTTTCATTTGCATCACTTGTATTTCTTGGGTTTTATTTTTCTCTTTGTTATTTTCTTCTCTCTTTTCCTTACAATTAAAAAAAAAAAGTCTTTTTAGTTCTTAAGGTGTTTTTATCTCAACCCATGAGTTTGTTTCTCACTTTTACCCTTCTGATTCTTCCTCCATCCCACCGGGGGTCAGGGAGGGAGTGAGTGAGTGTCTGTGTGGTACTTAGTTGCTGGCCAGGGTTAAACCATGACAGTGACCTTGAACATGGTGTTTCTGGGCTAAATATCTGAAGTGTGCTACTGAGGAGGCAGTAATTTAGTACTAATTCATGAGCTACATGATAAAAAGTTAATTGCTGAGGTGTTTAGCCATTTCTTTTGTTGTACACACACCTCTCGAGCATAACGGCAGACTTTTGGGGGAGAATACATGGTACTGCATATATATTTCCATTTCTTAATGGGTTATGTACATGATTTATGTATTAGAGCATGTCTTACACACAAAACAATATTGTAAACATGAAATACTTAGGTTAGCAATTCTTTTTTCCTTTCCTTGTTACTAGGACATTATGTGGTTTGTTTCATCAAACAATTCATCAAATAGGCACTTAGTAGTACAGTATAGCATTCCTATTCATTAACCACGTGCTAAATAGACCAGTACAGATGGAGAAGCAGTAGTGCACCTATTAACGTATTGTAGGATCTGGAAAAGCTTTGAATCTAATGAAACATCAGCAGACTGCTTTTTCTCCCTGAAAAGCCTTGATCTGATTATATAAAAGGCTCCAGCATGTATTAGCAAAGAGAAAAAAAATGCAGAGTTAATGTTGCTGTCAAATTTACATGGTTGTACCGAGAAGCTATTTGCAGCATTTGTTGATTTGACGTGAGATTATACGATAATTGTTGTTAATCTCTGTGTGACTAAAGGTGGATAAAAAGAAACTTAGATATCTAAAATTCTTATCAATATAAGAAGTTTAAATTATTCATATATAGAGAGCTGTTGTGTTCCTTGAAATCTGGCCAGAATGAAAAATTCATACCATGCTTTTGTAAAACTCTCCTTAACACTTTCTTCAAAATAAAGTGCTACTTTTAAATCTCACTGAATAGATCTCTTAAAGTTAATAATGTTATTTTTTAAAACAGCTAATAGTGTTGTAATTTAAAAGTGTTTTATTATGTGGAAGGGCTTTTTTCTACCTTCTCATTGCTAATTAAATGTCTGTCATGAAATTCTTTTAAAATTCCTACTGACTACTCAGGAAAGTACTACTGCTATTACCATTAGTACCCTGACAATACAATTAGTACTTCTAGGAAAGTCTGAAGAAACTCTTCAAAATATGTTCCTTTTTTTTGTTTTATGTGTAACCCATCTGGCTGCCATTTTTCATTATTCTTCCATATATGTGCTGTAGATTTTCATTAGTATTTAAACTTTTTTGACCAGGACTTTATTTTAATAGAGAACGGACCTGAGTTTCAGTGGTAGTTTTCTGAGTACTGACTTAGAAGTACTGATTTTTTTTCCTATTCCTTCCCTCTGGCTGGATTATAAAAGGAAGATAATCACCCTCAAAAATGTAGAAGGTGTCATTGTTTGTTACTCAGTGCAGACCTCTGTTTTTTCCAATCATTTCAACATATGGAGGAAAAAAATAGGAGGAAAAGTTATCCTGGAAATACTAATCTTCCTTATAATTTAATGATAAAATTTCACGTGCATTTATTTCTGATCAGCCTTTTTATAATCCTGAGTTGACAACAACAAAGAAATGATTAACACTGTGAAGAGTCTTTTATATGGGAGTGGACTGCTAAGTGTGATGCTAAGACATAATAAGCACTCTCTATAAGCTTGCATTATGTTTAGTAATATCTCAAGTTGTATATGTGGATTTTTATTAATAATTAAGATGACAGAAGTATAAACCCCAGCCCAACTTTGGCTATTGCTTAAATTTCTACTGTGTAAGCTTTTACGTCAGCAGGCACTTTCACCTGTTTTATTCTGGGAGTTAAAGTAACAAGCCAGTTCTGGCAGAACTAGTAAGTGAGTATTTCACTTCATGTTTGTTTGTGAAGTGACTTACCGTTTAGATACCTAAAACTATACAGTATGTTAGGAAGAACCTAGATTAACTTCTTGTGCTTGTCCTCTTGTACAGTAGAAGAAGGAGCACACAGTGATAACAAAATCAGCTGCCTTAATAAGTTCACAGCTCAAAAAAAGAAGTTTGGAAAGGTTGTGACTGCTGCCCTAAAGTTTCATTAAAGACAGTGAAACTGGGATTTGGCTATGACTATTTTGTAGGTGGTGTTTCAGGAGAAGCATTACAGCTATTTCGGAAGTGAAATAGAGTAATAAATCATAGTTGTGATGCATGATTACATCCATGTGTGAATAAGCAACAGGCAGAGCACCCATCAGTGATGTAGAACAGTATTCTCTTTGTACATCTTGGCTGCTTTTTTGTGTGGATTTACAATAGTACATCTAATCTCCAAGAAACCCACTTAATTCTCGAGATTTTGCATCCCTAGATGCACTAAAATCTCTTCTTAATAACTGGAATGCCTAGTGACAGGTGAAGTTGTGCGAAATGTGCACTTTTTTAGTGTAGTACATACACTTGAAAGAACAAAATATGCCCGTGTCATTTTCTGAATGAATAATTTTCCTATGGGAGTCATGAACTTCTCTGGGCCTGGTCAAGTATTTGTAGCATTTAATGGAACTTTCTCTTAGTAGGAAGTAACCCTTCTTGATGTACTTTTCAGTCTGTATGAAAAACTTACCTAATTCTGCTTCAATTTTTTGCTCTCTTGAGGACACAAAGTTAATTTTTTGCAGTAATGCAGCATTACCTCCTTTTTGTTGTTCCAGGAACTTCAGAAGTCTTTTGGTAATATACAAAAATACACACTTTAAGAAATTTAGGAGTTTTAGAAAGGAGTACTATTACAGAAGAGATAATGTCTGAAACTGCAGAAGTGATTCCAGTTGCTTGTTAGATTATACATAAATCATGACGCATGGAGTTACTGTGAGATACTAGTATTTTGATTTGTTCTGACTCCATATATCAGGTGCAGCCATTTTGCCTGATGTGTAATTTACTTTCCAGCTGCGAGGCTGACATGTTGAATGTATGAGAGTTTATGTCACTGTGCTAATACTGTGGAGTGATGAGGGGGCAAAAGGGCAGGGGAAGAACAATCACTGTATGCAAAGAAGCCCTATAGAAAGTGTTTTCTTTCTCCCTTCATGGTGGTTCCAAAGCCATCATCACAGCAAGACAGCAGCAGACACCTTTTCCTAACACAATCTGATGTTCTGTGCTTTGAAGTAAAAGAAAAGGGAAATTTTGAGAGTCCTGTGCTGTATAGGGAGATGAGATACCTTCCTGTTCCTGGGCCTTTAGGTTTTTGATTTTGGGAGAGAGGACTTTCTGGTTTTGGGGGTGGGTGTGTCTTTGGTTTTGGTTGAGGTTTTTTTAGGTTGGGTTTTTTTTATGGGTTTGGGTTTTTTCCCTACCAGCATGTGGGAAATAGAGGGCATTGATTCAGTTGAACTTAGATGCAGCTTTTGGATAACTTAAAATTTTGGGGTCTGTTATTTTAGTGCATTGCCAAAATTTGCAGTTTATGGAAATGCTTACTTGTAAATAAAAACACAAAAACTTTGTAACTGTTAGCTCTGTGATCTTGGTTTTCAATGTGAAAAATAGAAAAAAACTTCTGTCTGGCCTGTCCATTATTCTCTCTTTCTCTCTCTCTTGAATTTGCAAATGAATTCAAAAGGAGCTTGTAAAGGAAGAGTGAAATAGAATCTGATTTACAGTGTAACAGCTATGTAAGTGTTAATACTTTATTAATGAACTTTTCATTTGTCAATAAAATAAGCAAGTAGAATTCCAGATGTTAAGGAAAGTTCCGTCTGTGTCATCACCGACTACACTGTGCATAAAACAATACCCATCAAAGAAAAGCTTGAAAACAGAATCCTGTATAGTATTAGTAAAATAAAATTCCCAAGTTTCTTTTCACGCATATACTTTTAGTCAAAATTAAAAGAAGGGCCAAGAACCAATTTCATTATTTGATAATTTCTTTTTGAATTTGAAAAGGATACCTAATGTCATCTCTGCAGAAGCCTCTTAGTTCAGAAACAATTAGTAGCCAAATAAATGCCTGAGAGAAATTGCCTTGTTTTTACTGTATAATTTTGATAACCACTTACAGATTTCTCCTGGTGTCTTATCCAATTTTCTATTTACTTAGGCTTCAGGCTCGAATTGCTCACAGAATCCAGGAACTGGAGAACTTGCCTGGTTCTCTGCCCCCTGATCTGCGAACCAAAGCTACAGTGGAGTTGAAGGCACTTAGGTTACTGAACTTCCAGCGCCAGGTAATGCCTTTTGCTTCACGAACATTCTCATAGAGGTCACAGCCAAACATATTCATGTAGCAGAGAGTAAACTGGTGAGAGATTTTGCAACAGCACTGAGCCTAAGCAGGAGATTTTGCATGAGAGCAAACTTGACCAATAAACAAGTTACAGAAATGTTTAACTTAGATTTTATGTTTTTATCTTAATAAAAATGTGCAAGTGTTCTTTTCACTTCCTGCTTTATCTTTGTGGTGCCTTCTAGTCTATAAAGCATGTCCATAATGTCTTGTTTTGTATCCAAAAGTTTCTTTCATAATAAACATGGCATTGGCACTAAGACAGAAGAAGACCTGGACAGGCTGCAAGCTGATTTTCCACACAAATCCCAAGGGACACCTCTTTCTGGCCATGCTTCATATTTGTCATGAGTCCCCTTGTTTTAGGAAGAGTTGTATGTTGGTGTTGTGTGTAGTGTTTCTCTGTGTTGCGTGTAGTGTTTCTCTGTGATCTGTTTCAGGTTTTCCACTGTAGCACTCAGACTTTGAAAATTAAGCGTAACGAGATCATACCTGAGATACAAGTTGGATGTTGATTGCATGTATTGGCAAATGAGTTTCAGAAAAGAAATCACGCTGCCAGACTCTTACAGGCCTCTTGCCATTGGCTTTTCCAGCTAGTTTGGAAGAACAAAGATGTGATTTGGCAGGTCAAGCAAAAATACTTCCTGACAGAAGTCTTGGCAGTACTCGTACCATGATGTCCAAGTCTTCCTTCCCTCTACCCTTGGCATTCCTTTATAATGAAGTTTTGTCAGAGGTCAGATGAAAAGCAGCAGGCTCTCCCTGCTTTACTGCTGGGACTGTGGCAATACTGTTCCAAGCTCTTAACATTTACATCTCCCTGCTGTCTCCTGTGCAGCTGGCAATGAAATGAGCTGTCAGCTATGTTCAGGTCCAGCTCTATAAAGTATGTTATGTATGTTGTTCATTCGTGTTTTACTTTGATGGTCTAATATCTTGGCTAGCCCCTTTCCTTGCAGCAGGACAATCATTTGCAGCATCTTGTAAAGAAGGAACAAATGATGATTAAGAGTGGTTAACCCTTTTGGCCATCCTGTGCAGACTTAAGACTTGTTTAGGGAGACAGACATAGCTGCTACAAGTGTATAGGTGCTGGATCTCTTCAGAACTGTAATGGAAAGGGAAAAGGAGGCTGGGGACATCTTCTGGGCTGTTAGTTTTACTCTGCCATACTAGCATTCAAAGTTATCTCTACATGTATTAAAATGATTATTTTTTTTTTAAGTGTTTCTTTTTTCCCACTGGTAGCTAAGACAAGAGGTGGTAGCTTGCATGCGTCGTGACACAACACTGGAGACAGCGCTAAACTCCAAAGCCTACAAACGAAGCAAGCGCCAGACTTTGAGGGAGGCCCGAATGACAGAAAAACTTGAGAAACAGCAGAAGATAGAACAGGAGAGGAAGCGTAGGCAGAAGCATCAGGTATTTTAACTTATTAGCTATTTGCCCCGTGACAGAAATGCACCTTGCTTTGCTGTGCAGGTCTTCTGTATTACGTATTTTATTTACCTTTGGAGTTGCTAAGATTAAAAAAAATTCCAACTCATGTGATAAGCAATTGGAGAATGATAAGGTTAGAACTTCTGTATTCCTGATTTCAAATCCTGTGCTTTGTCCAAGTGTCTGCACTAACTTGTTTCTCTTTCTAGGAATACCTGAACAGCATATTGCAGCATGCTAAAGATTTTAAAGAGTACCACCGATCAGTTGCTGGGAAAATTCAGAAACTTTCTAAAGCTGTTGCAACCTGGCATGCCAACACTGAGCGTGAGCAGAAAAAAGAAACTGAGAGAATTGAGAAAGAAAGAATGAGGAGACTAATGGTAAGGAGTAGAATAAGGAATATTATTATTTTATCTAAAATTACATACTGTATCCTTTTAATATTTTGTATGCAGTCTCAGCCACACCCCTGTATTTCCTTTGCAGAATAAACCTTCTGTAACTCAAAAAGTATAAATCTAAAACTGCTGCAGATTGATTATGTGTATTTCTGATGATGGTAGTGAATGTGACACTGTTCATTTGAACCTATAGCTACTTCTTTTTTAAGGTTTTTGATAAGAATAATTGTTTTTTCTACCAGCACGAAAACTTAGCACAGCCACTTTTGTACAATGTCACTTAATCTCATTAACTTCACTTACTAACACTATTGTATAATTGCAGGAGTATTGATCCATTATATAAACACTGGACTGTGCTTTATTTCTAGGTTTATAGCTTTGGAGATTCCATATGATCAACTTGTTCATGGCATTACTCCGCCACTTTTACATAAAGCTGATTTCACATGTGAAAATACATAACCAGTAGCAGTGATGCATGTATCTTGAGAATTGATAGCAGTCAGTTCTACCCATTAATGCTCCAGGACCATACTCATTCTTGCTATTTCATAGTTTTCCCTTCCTTGCACCTGCACAATATCAGTTGTGTCATTCATAGGACAGAGTAGAATGGGTTTGTGTATAACCATGTCTTTTGAGAATGCTGTGGAACTAATTAGTGGGTTGCCTACATTTCAGGAGTTAACTAATTCTGGAATTTAAAGTGTAGACAGATTAATGCATATGCACAAGTAGCAACTGGGGTTGGAAAAATTTCTTCAAGACATTGGTTAGCTCTTGTTTAACACTTTATTAACACTTTGCCAACATAGAATTGAATGGGAATTGACACGCTTGCTTTGAAACATGCTGGTAAAAAACAGTAAGTATCTAATATTGGTGCAGATGTAATGCAAAACCCTAGTCCCTGTCCAGAATCTATTCCCAGCATGAATAAGGACTGAACAGTTTGGTTTTAAAAAACACAAAATGAAATGCAGAAATAATTAAATATAAAAATGATAAAAATATAGAAATAAAAGTGTATGTAAAATGTAAATGAAGGACTTGCATAAGAGAATAACAAATGTTTGGGCCCTAGAGCATTTCTTCAAATTACATAGTAATCAGCATTAAGGAGCTTTTTTATAATTAGAGATAATTGCCAGCAGTCTATCTAACCAAGCTTGTAAAAATGTTAATTCTTAGACAAAAAAGAGCTAATAAAAAAAAAGATAATCTTGATATTTTAGAAATATTTTTGTACATCGTGAGGTTGAGCTTATGCCAGTCTAACATATAGTATCATAAATAATAAAGATGTCCACTGCTGAAAAATATGAAGTAGATTTGAATGTCCAGAAATGGCAGGGGATACCAATGCTTCCAGAATATCACTGTTTTCTTCTAAGACTCTTCACCAAGGCTGTGGTTAAGCTCTTACCATAGATACAGCACGTCATAGGCATTTTCAGTTTGGGTCTGTGCACTCAGAAGTCTTTGCCCCTATTGGTCAATTAAGTCCTTCTGCAAAAGCAAACTGTGTGTGTTGGTGGGGTTATTTTGCGTATTTAGTGGGGTTATTTTGCCTATTAATTTTACTCCAGTTGTGATAAATTTTGAATTTGAAGATATATACCAGGGTTTTTTATAAACATCTCTTCCTCTCGAACGCTTGATGTGTTCTAGGAAAAAGTGCTGTGTCTAAAACTGTTTGCATATCTTTTCAGGAATGTTGAATTAATTCACAGATTGTCCTTCACTGACTGTGATTAGAAATTGTGATTGTGTCACAGCTCGTTAATACTAGTATATATCACATGCAGGAAGGGGCATGGGTATGGTTTAAAAAGGTACTGTCAAGACAAACTGGAATGTATAAAGGAAGTATGTGCTGCTGTGGGGGGAGTAGATAGGGTCCCTTCCACGGGGTGCAGACCTTCAGGAACAGACTGCTCCAGCGTGGGTCCCCCATGGGGTCACAAGTCCTGCCAGCAAACCTGCTCTGGCGTGGGCTTCTCTCTCCATGGGGCCACAGGTTCTGCTCCAGTGTGGGCTTCCCACAGGGTCACAGCCTCCTTCAGGTGCTTCCACCTGCTCTGGTGCAGGGTCCTCCATGGGCTGCAGGGGGACAGCCTGCCTCACCATGGTCTTCACCATGGGCTGCAGGGGGATCTCTGCTCCAGCGCCTGGAGCATCTCCTCCCCCTCCTTCTTCACTGACCTGGGTGTCTACAAAGTTTCTCACATCTTCTCATGTCTCTCTCTGGCTGCAAAAGCTACCGCTAGGGGTTTTTTTCCTTCTTAAATATGTTATCACAGAGGTGCCTACCACTGTCACTGATGGGCTCGGCCTTGGCCAGTGTCGGGTCTGTCTGGGAGCCAGCTGGCATTGGCTTTATCGGACATAGGGGAAGCTTCTGGCAGCTTCTCACAGAAGCCAGAGCCACCCCACTGCCAAAACGTTGCCACACAAACCAAATATATTTGGCTATATTACAGTGACTGTGTAATAATAATGATATGATGACCATAATAATAATTCTAAAAACTTAGGTTTTGAGTGTTGTAGTTCTGATGGCTTGAACATTACAACTGAATTTTACAAGGAATTTTAGAAGCTCAATTTGAACATTACAGCTGTTCTTGCCATTTTCTGCAGTTCTGGTGTCTCTCCAGCAAGGCAGGAAATTTTTGTGTGTCTCCCAGAGTGCTGTCTTTTAAAGTAATCATCTTTAAAATATTTCTTAGTCGTGTTTAGTTTTTATAAGGCATTGTATACTTCCTTTATTTATAGTTGTTTGAGCCAAAATTGACAAAGGCGTGTCTGTTGCTTTCCTTGTATTTTTCTGACATACTCAAATGCTGCATTATATCTTCACATGATATATGTGAAGCACATGAAAATAATGCTTCCTGATATGTCTTACCCCTAACAACACACTTATAAGGATGCAGAAGGTGCCAGAATGATTCAGAGATACGGTTTACCTGGTGAATCCTGTCTCTGATAGTGACCTGTATCAAAGATGAAATAACACCAGGTTATAGGTGAAAGGTGATAGGTAATCTGCCCAAAAGAAGATTTTCTTCTAACAGGTAAAAGAAAAAGATTCCAGTATTTTCCAGTATTCATACTGGAAAAAAGACTAAATGCAAGCTCACATCCAGCTCCCATATTCTTCCTCTGGTTATGGGCTACCTGCACTTCATGTGTTTGAAAAATCGTCTCTGTAGGAGACTTACCAAGCATCTCTGTTTTGGGAATTTTTAATCTGTTCGATGTGATGTTAAATGATTTTTTTTTCCCCTTACCTGTCATAACTGCTGCAGTTTTTTCTAGTCACTAGTCCATGAGAGCAGGAAATACTTAGAATCATAGAGCCACTGAATCCCAGAGTCAGTCAGGCTGACAGGGAGCTCTCTAGTTCAACCACTTTCCCCAAGCAGTACCAACATCAAGTTCAAAGCAGGTTGCTTAAGGCTTTTTTCAGTCATGCCTTGAAAATCTGTAAGGTCAGAAATGACACAACTTCTCTGCCTGTTCAGGTCGTTCTGAAGTGCAGCCTGGTCCTCAAGCATATTGACTGGTATCTCCCAGTTACATGTCATCTGCAAACTTGATTAGAGTGCTCTCCATACCTTCCTCTGGGTCACTGATAGAAATGTTAAACACAACATGCTGCGGGATAGACCCTGTGGTATCCCTCTTCTTACTGTCTCTGGATAGAGTAAGATCCTCTGCAGCCCTGCAGAGAAGGTCTTGGGGGGTTATAAAATATTATATATATAAAATTGGTGGCTGAGAAGCTGGACATGAGCCAGCAATGTGCACTTGCAGCCCAGAAAGCCAGTCACATCCTGCGCTGCATCAAAAGAAGCGTGACCAGCAGGTCAAGGGAGGTGATTCTCCCGCTCTACTCCACTCGGGTGAGCCCCCACCTGGAGTACTGCGTCCAGCTCTGGGGTCCCCGGTACAAGAAGGACATGAGCAGGTGTAGAAGGCGGCCATGAAGCTGATCAGAGGGCTGGAGCACCTGTCCTGTGAAGACAGGCTGAGAGAGTTGGGCTTGTTCAGCCTGGAGAAAAGGCGGCTGCAGGTAGACCTTCCAGTACCTGAAGGGAGCCTACAGCAAAGATGGGGAGGGACTCTTTATCAGGGAGTGTAGTGATAGGATGAGGGGTAATGGTTTTAAACTGAAAGAAGGTAGATTTAGATTAGAAGTTCAGAAGAAATTCTTTACCATGAGGGTGGTGTGGCACTGGAACAGGTCGCCCAAAAAGGTTGTTGATGCTTCATCCCTGGAAGTGTTCAAGGCCAGGTTGGATGAGGCTTTGGGCAATCTGATCTAGTGGAGGGTGTCCCCCATGGCAGGGGGGTTGGAACTCAATGGTCTTTAAGGTCCCTTCCAACTCAAACCATTCTGTGATGCTATGTTTCTAGGATTCTGTGACCCATTAACACAAATGTATGGCCCTTTGGGCCTGATCATCCAACGAGTTCTTTACCCATCTATTTGTCCCCCTACGCAGATCATAATGACCTAAGATAAAACATGGTCGTTGACATACGAGTTGGTTGGTGTTTCTTTGGAAGCATTTCTGTCATGGCTGATGTCTATTTTGTATTGCTAGGCTGAAGATGAAGAAGGCTACCGTAAGCTGATTGACCAGAAGAAAGATAGACGCCTGGCCTACCTATTGCAGCAGACAGATGAGTATGTGGCTAACTTGACTAACCTGGTATGGGAGCATAAACAGGCACAAGCTGCCAAAGAGAAGAAGAAGAGAAGGAGAAGAAAGAAGGCAAGTAGTTACAGCTGGTATTTTTAGGCCATCTCTTCTTCAAATCCAATTTTAGTGTTGATAAATGTAGTGATACCTAATTGTCATACACATACCAGAATATCTAAAATCATCTACACTGCCAAATTCTTAACTCATCTCTCTCCATGAAATATATAAGAAATTTGCTGTCATTAATTCCAAAGAAGGTGAGGAGGAGGCAGGATTAGAAAATTGTGGGCTGTTAATTTTCATTTGCTAATACACTTTCTACAGGCAGACATGTAAATTAGGCTTAAAGTACCCAAAAAGGATCCAGTGGAACCAGAATACATTTTATGTTATAAGAAGATGGGAAAAGCTTGGTTTGTGCAGCTTTTTCATATAGGGTAACTTTTTTAGACCTCCACATTTTACACTTGGCTCAGTCCATTTTGTAGTACCATTGGAAATGACTAGAGAGGAAGAACTTGGGTAGGTTTACTATAGTAAATGGATATTCTTCCTGTAGTACTGTTCGTTGTGCATTCTTAACATTTAATTGAATCTTTTCAAAATTACCTTTCTTTATATGAAATACTTTACCCTGTGAGAGAGACTAGTTGTGGAAACTGAACAGTGCTATTTTTGAAAAAATAATTCTGGGTGTGAAATAATCACTAAGACATTATTTGTCATTTTTGTGAGCTCCGAGTACATTTCATCTCTTGCAGGATAGATAAGAGGATTTTTATAATCCATTTCCATGCCTGCTTTGCTACTAATTACTGATACAAATATTACCATTATATTTACATGGTTTACAAGCAGCACTCTAAATATGGTAATAAATACCAGCATATAAAAAATTCCAATTTCAGAGATAAATGGCCTAAAAATGCTCCATGTTTTCTCCTGTCCCTCTCCAAAACCTCTGTGCTTTTTGTTGAGCGTATGTTCTTAACATATGAACAATCCTCTGCCTACAAAGTTAAGGTGTAACTTACACGTGGTTCTTGACCTGTATTACCAGTGAGAACAGACCTGATTTATTGTATGGAATTCACAGTAGAAATAATCCGTAATGAGCTAGTATGTGGAGTAAATGCACTGCTCTAATGAAAAATATTAATTTCTTCAACAATCCACATCTATGATACGGTTTTATTTCTATGTCAATTTAGCTCGAGTACATGTGAGGTACAGAGTATCTTCTGGCCATGTCATAAAGACATAATTTTCTGTCACTGAAGTAGAAAGGAAATATGCTCCATAAATATTCAGTGCTTATAAATATCCCATCCTGAAACCTAAAGGAGGATTAGCAGAAAAAAAATCTCAGCTCTGTCTTGATCATCTGCAGCTTTTTGTTTGTAATTAAGTTCTTTCCACCAAGCTTTTGCTCATCTGTCAAGAATACAGGGGTGCACATAATACTACCCTTTGGTTTAATTTGTAATTCTATCATTGTTGCACAGGTGCAGCACTCATTGAACTTAGTGGGCACTGTGTCTTTTTCCGAGTCATACACTTTTAATACTTACCCTTTTATGTTTTGTAATCCATGTAAAACACAGTTTAATCTACTAACACCTGTAGTTAAATGCTTTGTACTTCCAGAGAAATGAGAGAAGAGAGTTCTTAGGATTTTTCTCCTAGAAATGGCAATGAGGAGGTAGAAGGTGAAGAAGTACTTCTCGTCTTTGCCAGGCTTATATTATTTAATATCCATGTGAGCCCTCTATTCTCACAGGAATAAAATTTGGGATTAGTCCATTTTTTCTCTGGGGTACAGTTTGGGGAATCTTTATGGTAGATTTTCTCTCTCTGCTTTTTTCACATTCCTGTATTTGTCTTCTGTCTGCAGCCTCCTGTTCAGCTAGTGTCCCACATCCTTGCTGGAGTCATGGATTAAAAAAACCCCAAACACTCCAGATTAAATTTTCATCTGATAGGCCAGTTTAACTTGCTGTGCAATCTTTCACCTTTATCCGTAGGAGGTTTTCCTGTCGTTATATGGAGAATGAAGGAAATGTAACTTCCTACTTTTATAAAATTGGTATTTCCTTGTCAAGGATTAAATTGTCAAGATTAAAGACATCTTTGCATAGCCTAAAATACAAGTGCAAGATATCTGTCATTATTTACATTTATCTCGTTTGTAACATGTGTTTCTGCTTTCCAAAATTGTTTTTAACTATAGGTTGTAAATGTTTGTGCGCTCACAGCAGGATCTGATCTTTGCACAGTGGACAGCACTGATATAATTGCAGTCTAGACTTAATTGAGATACAGTGTCAAGAACTCTCAAAATACCCTTTCTAGTTAGTTGTTAGACCAAAAAAACTTGTGTACATACCCAAAGCAAAAGTGCTGCATGAATATACAATCTGTGATGTCTAGTGACACCTCCAAAACTGAGATTGAAGCACTTTAAAGGAAATAAATAGTAAAGCACATGAAAATTAATTCCTATGTTATTTGTATTAGCACAGTCTGTAAGTGACTGAACTCTAGGTCTGGACCAGAAATTCAGTAAGCCAGCTCTTCTTAGATGCAGATTTTTTATAGTGACTACAGATGTTTTAGGTACCCTATTCATACTAGTAAATGGTTTGTGTATGTGGTAGGAACTCTGTGCCTATCTCTATCCACCCACACCTTAAATTATGGTCATCCCAGGCTATTCAGAAATAGACTGAAACATATTCATGGTCCAAAATGCTTACATCATATAAAGTATTCTCTCTATAATTGTAATCTGACCGTGATATTTTTCACTTCTTCATTTGCTGTAGAAGGCTGAAGAAAACGCAGAAGGAATGGCATCTGGTCTTGGTCCTGATGGAGAGGTATGAATTTTATAAGGAGTTTTTTTTGTTGGTTTTTTTTAAACTCTCCAGTGATTGTTCTGTGTGCCATTGCTATAGCTTTAAAAAAAAATCATGACCACAAATGTTCTAAGAAGAGCTGTTGTTTATAACCAGGAATAAAAATTATCTAGATTAACATTTATGCTAGCTGTTTCTCTTCAGAAAGCTGAAGACTAGAAGAAAAATATATAGAATCTATCACTGAGTATGTTGAAGAATCCCTCTCAGCTTCAGCTTTGTTATATGCTTAAAAGTAAATGTTTTTCTTGCAGTCTGTGTGTAGACATAATTTACTTTCTAAAATGAGGTTGTAAACATAATATATTCTTTCTTCTCATTTTTATAGAATACACTGTTGACATTGCTTGTAATTACCTTTCAGACACAGGATAGACCATAGTATTATGATGGCTTAAGACATGTGAAAGTTCTTTCTTCCTCAGAAGCAAAAGGAAATGAGTAATTTTTCTGTGTCATTCTTTGAATAATATTCTTCATTCAGTAGCAGAGTATATGCTACCTCATTAAAAGCTATTCTATTAATGCCATTTTTCTATTCAATTTTATTTTTACATAAAGACTTTAGAATTGTATTTATTGTTTTGCTTTTGGTCTTTGTTATACTAGTGAGTGATATTTTTGTTGATGTAGTTAAAAAGTTATAGCAAAATCCTTTAATATGGTTGCACAAGGAAAATGCACATAACATTCCCATAACTTCAGTACTTAATGGAAATGGGGTAAGTTTTATATTCTGTCAGTCACTGCATTTATAACTGTTCACAATTATTTTTTCTTGTTCATTCATATATATATATGGAAAAGATTCTTCAGTAGAAGCAGCAGTAGAAGGCAAAAAGCTTTTCAAGTAGAAAATCTGTGATTAAACAGGGCAAAGAAATAAAAGAAAAAGTAATTACACTATTCTGGTTTTGTTAGAGTACCAGAATAAGTAAAAGGTTTTGTTACTGCAGGTGCTTTATCAGCTTAACTGAAGAAGTCAGGATAGTGAATCTTTAAAATAGGCCTTCTTTACTTAAAAAATTAGCTAAATTGTTACTTCATGTAATAGTAAAGCTCATAAGGTCAATATATGTTTTCCTGTTACAGATGTTCATTGCTATAAATAACAGGATTAAATGCCTGTAAGCATACATACCTTGTGCCTTGTTTCACAGAAGCCAACAGGGTTTTCTTTTCTACGCTGCTTTTGTTTTGAATACTGTGATATATTTGTGGATGTTACATAGAGTATGTTAGATGCAGAAATACTGTGACTCATTTTTTGCTTGATAGCCATGTGGGAAGTTGTGCTTCTAATAACAAAACTTCACTGCTTGCTCAGATCTGGAATTTTGAAGGTACTATTAGTTCTTTTTATTATGTATGACAAGTATGAAATTCAGCTGCCTTATGGTATAAAATTTCATTTGAATTTTTAGCCCATAGATGAGAGCAGTCAGATGAGTGACCTTCCAGTCAAAGTGACTCACACTGAAACAGGCAAAGTTCTTCTTGGGCCAGAAGCACCAAAAGCAAGTCAGCTGGATGCTTGGCTGGAAATGAACCCTGGGTAAGTAGTTAGCATGCAAGTGTGCTGCTGCTTCTGTTTGCATTGATATTTTTCATGGGCTTTTCTTAGTTATTCTTTTTTACCTACTCTATTTTTTTAATTTATTATGTGTAAGTGGAGTAGGAGATGTATTGAACCTAATCTCTCCTCTTGTTGTCTGTAATTCCTAATCTTTCTGCCATCTTTGTACAGCTATGAAGTTGCTCCCCGGTCAGACAGTGAAGATGAAAGTGGCTCTGAATATGAGGAGGAGGTATGTGTCTTAAAAAAAATACTGTGTGACAAGTAATACAATTAAAAACTAGTACTTATTCCATGTGATATTTTCCTCTTTTTCATAAGGAAGGGAAAGTGATAACAGATGTGTAGGTGTTCTAAGAATAATGCAAACAGGAAAAGCAAATGGTTTTATAATTCCTTTCAGTTCATAGTGGTTGCCCTTTATATATGCTGTAAATGTCTAACTGGTAATCAAGCTTAGGAAGAGTAAATATTTCACTCTGACCATTAATAATCATGAACCAGAGACTATAAGCAGGTTCCTGTTTTAAAATGCATGTCAGAAAAGGCTGTATTGTGCCTTTGTGCTGAATGAAGTTAACATCTTTAATGTTTATGCATTGGAGGTTTTATTAGCAATTCTGACTAGCACAGTTATTATTTATATAATGTTTATTAAAAAGTGTCGTGGTTTTACCCCAGCCGGCAGCTGAGCACCACGCAGCCACTCGTTCACTCCCTCCCCATTGGGATGGGGGAGAGAATTGGAAGAGTTAAAGTGAGAAAACTCGTGGGTTGAGATAAAGACAGTTTAATAGGTAAAGCAAAAGCCGCGTGCACAAGCAAAGCAAAGCAAGGAATTCATTCACCACTTCCCATGGGCAGGCAGGTGTTCAGCCATCTCCAGGAAAGCAGGGCTCTGTCACGTGTAACAGTTACTTGGGAAGACAAACGCCATCATTCTGAACGTGCCGCTGCCCCCCCCCTCTTCCCCCAAGCTCCTTATAAACTGAGCATGATGTCATATAGTATGGAATACCCCTTTGGTCAGTTTGGGTCACCTGTCCTGTCTGTGTCTCCTCCCAACTTCTTGTGCACCCCCAGCCATCCCGCTGGCAGGGCAGTGCAAGAAGCAGAAAAGGCCTTGGCCCCGTGTAAACACTGCTCAACAATAAGTCCATAGAACAAAAACATCTCTATATTATCAATGCTGTCTCCAGCACAAATCCAAAACGTATCCCCACACTAGCTACTACGAAGAAAATCAATTCTCTCAGCTGAAACCAGGACAAAAAGTTAGGGATTAGGTTCAGACTGGGATTTAGGTTCAGACTGTTCAGGGTAGGCTTATTTGGTTCAGTACTTCAATGGTGATTTAAATACTTTTATTACAAAAATTCTAAAAAGAGTCTTAAACTGAAAATCAACACACACAAAGATCCCAATCTTGCAGAGTCATAATATTAGACTATGAATAATCAATACCGATACTTGCATAGCATTTTTCAGACAAATAGTTTATAAGGGAGAGGAAGACTAAGGTTCATGTTCAATCATGTATGACCATGTTCAATCAATCGGCTAGTAGCAGAACTACGCATAGAAACCAGTAGTAGCAGAACTACACATAGAAACCAGATCTCCTAAGTCTAGCAGTCTTTACAATACTAGACCAAATAACCACTGAAATTGACAGGACTGTATGATGTTAAGGTACATGCCTTTGTAGGACTAATTACTGCTAGTGTAATTCTACAAGAGTCTCAGTATTAACATAGGAGAGGAGGGCCTGATACCTGTCGTATTCTAGGAGGAATGTTATAAGAGATGTGCCCACATTTTGAGCACAGACTCTTTACCAGCAGTGTTGTTTGGAGCTGGGGAAATAATTCTTAGGAGAATACACTTGCGGAACTCAAAGAAGTGTTTTGTTCAGCTTCATTAGTGAGATTTTAAGTTGTTAGTTATCTGTTGCAACTGTAGCCGGAACACAAGTTTTTTAAAAAGAGTAAAAATGTGGTCTGTTTTTAAAAAGTTAAGAAACTAGAAGTCTAAACCAGCAGTTTTTGGCAGCTTTTTAAGCTTTATTAAATCATTATACATCTGGAATTTGATATAAACATGTACATGGTATTGCAATCCTCTCCATAAGTATGGTAGACAGAGTAAGGCTTTTAAAAGTAAGATCATTAAAGGGGACAACTACTTCTTATTTCAAAGTATTGTGACTTTCTGTTGGTTAATGTATGTCAAAAACTGTTGTCTTGTTATGCTGCGGTGCAATTCTATTGCAGAACAGGTATAAGTTGAACTTTGTGATTCAGATTTCTGTCATAAAGCACTGACTAATGAAAGATACCAATATGTGAATGCCAGTTGAAAGTATGACTTAGGTAGATGTTCAACTTCCCAGCACCCTTATTCTTTTTCTGTATTCTGTAGGATGATGATGAAGAATCAAGCAAGTTAGAATCAGATGATAAGATACTTCTGGATCCTAACAGTGAGGAAGTTTCTGAGAAAGATGCAAAGCAAATCATTGAGTGAGTGTTATTTACATGCTGGCTTTTGTTAGGAATTGTGATTTCTGACAGCAGTATTTCCCAAAAGTAGCTTGCTCTAGCTTACAGTGAGTTGTGGTAGCTTCTCCAGCTTGAACATCTGCAGGAGAGGAACATGGTCATTTGGTATTAATTATGTACTGTTCATAAAGTAGCTTGCGCCCTTTGGTCTACCGACCACAGTTGGGGATTTGCACTGTTTCTTTAAACATACATATGTGAGCTATGGTCAAAAAACCTGTTTGTTTGTGGAAATTCACTTTAGTTCTTTTTCTGATTTCCAGGACAGCCAAACAAGATGTGGATGATGAATATAGCATGCAATATAGTGCTAGAGGGTCTCAGTCCTACTACACTGTTGCTCATGCAATCACAGAAAGGGTGGAAAAGCAGTCTTCTCTTCTTATTAATGGCACACTAAAACATTATCAGGTAAGAAATCATTAAAATGTTACAATACGTAAACTGGTAATAAGCTTGACATTTCAATGTGGCATTTCAAATAGCAAACTGAAAATTTGTTAAGAAATAGAAGCTCTCTAGTAGGTTAAAATTTGGGAATTTGGACAAAGCAATGACAACACCTGTCACATACAATGTTTCATACATACTGCTTGAAGAATAGTAACAACTTTTTGCATATACCTGTAACTTCTTATTTTATTGCAGACCGATAATATTTTGGTTTTGCTGTCCTTCTCATTGACCTGAAATTTCAGTTATAGTTACTTTTTTCATTTGTGGTGCGTTAACAATATTTTTTCCTCTTCCAATATTTAAAAGTTTAAGATTTTAATTTTTAACTAAGATCCTAATATTTCAGTTAAGTGACAGATAAAATTTGGAAACAAGAAAAATGTTTTACTAAGGAGGTTGATGTATTCTTTACAGATATTCAGTGGATTTAGTAACTAGGAACTTCTGTATTCTGACATAAGCTAGATTCATGTATGACTCATTAGATGTTAGGAAGAAATTCTTTACTGTTAGAGTGGTGAGGCACTGGAACAGGTTGCCCAGAATGGCTGTGGAGGCCCCATCCCTGGAAGTGTTTAAGACCAGCTTGGATGAGTCTTTGGGCAACGTGGTCTAGTGGAGGGTGTCCCTGCCCACAGCAGAGGGGTTGGAACTAGATGATCTTTGAGGTCCTTTCCAACCCAAACCATTCTATGATTCTATGATTCTATAATTGAAAATGTCGCTGGTACATGTTTTCAACATTTCTGTTATTGTACAGCTTTCTATGAAACTCCAAGAACCTCCATATTTTCTGCAGTCAGAACACTATTTCTGCACCTACATAAAATGAAGAATCATACTTACTCACCTAGATGTATATCTGCTTCTGCTTGAAGAGAACTAGGAGGAAGACCGTTCCTAAGTGTGCAGAGCATTATGATTACAGCCTCTGCTTCCTGTGCTCCTCAGCACTGCCATCTATTACATTTGCTTGTTTAAATAATTTAAGTTCAAGGGTTAAGCAGACTTCTCTTTTCAAAGCATTTTAGTATTTTTATGTTGGGCTCCTCACTGTGGGACATGGTGAGAAAACGAGACAATGAGCAAGAGCTGAAGCAAGAGGGTTCAGACTGCATGTACAGAAGGGGACAGCACTGCTGTGGAGCAGGGGCTCTGACAGGTTTTACCTAGGAGGTTTTCAGTCGCTGGCCATATAAAGCCTTGACCCCAAGGCTGGACCTGCTGTGGGCAGGGGATTGGCATAGAGGCTGCCTGAGGTCTGTTCCATACTGAATAATCCTACGATCCTATTGTTTATAGCAAAACTCCATCTCAATTTGAATTCTGTTGTGAAACCTTAGCACTTCTAGGTGTCTTACTGTGAGCCCTCCAACAGAAAAAAGAAACGCATCATTCAGGGACTGATTTTGAACATGGTAGGATAAATAACTGTTCTGGCACCATCGAGGAAAACTGTGACTAAGACAAGATAGAAGCCAACCATACAGAGAAATATGCTGCTTTCTCAGCTATGACACCCTCTTTATTTTTGCTCTTTGTCAATACGTTGTCCAGCTTGTGCACCCAGTGAAGCAGGGAGCCAACAGATGCAGTCAGCAGCCTTTACTGCATAATCCTGATTCATTGTCGAGGAAGGTTTATATGATGTACTAAATGAATAGTGTATAACAATACTAATTCGATGGCCATATTGGCTTTAAGTGCTTGTGGATGGGAAATTAAGACTGTGATAATTCCTTTACTTCCTGAATTGTAATTCCTTATGGAACATAGAAATATTGTTAAATTATGCAGATCTATGCTTTGCAGTGCAATTTCCGTATGTGCCACAAAGCAAAATAATTCAGTCTGAGGAGTTACGCAGACACTCACAGGGATTACCGATTAGAGCAGGTCCTTTAGCTGCTCAATGTGATACTAGCAATTGAATAAGTAGTTTTGTTCTTTATGGTGTCTGTTCTATGGAGTAATTGCACCAGAGGTAAGAGGCAACTTGCCTAAGGAGCTTTATGTCAGGAGCGTTGAGGCTTGGCTTTGGTTCTAGCAGGACTATTCTGAAGGAGACTGTTCTGCTACTCTCCTCTTCATTCCTTGTATTTCCCTGTCCTGTAGATTTTACGTGCTTCTTCCTTTTCAACTTTTTTTCTACTTTTCCATGTTTGTTACTGTCAAGTTTGGTCAGATTGTCTCTTCCTTCATATTGGTATACTGGGGTAAGTTCAATGAAATTAGAAAAGACAGTTTTCCTATCCTCAATTCTGAGGCTGCTTTGCAAGTGGGACATGTGGTTGCAGAACAAATTCTGATCAATTCTTGGTGGCCTGAGTATTTAATACCTGAATATGAATCAATCAGCATGTACCTAAAGCCAGTAAATTGGCAACGTTTTTTTGGATACTCTCTCACCGGGACTACAGAAGGTAACTTCAAGCATGTAGTGTTTCCTCTCTGACCTTTCTCAGACCTCTTAATTTACTTCTCTCTCCATGCAGGAGACACACCAAAAGTCTGGGTATTAGAAGCAAGAACTTACTTTGTACTTGCATGAGTAGTGTGATAAACACATATGTGTGACAAGGGAGTAGTCTGAGTCAGTGCTTTCTAGCAGTACTCCTTGGAGTGTGAAACTCCGTTATATAGACATTTCTTAGCTAGTGTACTCTGGCTTCCTTCTGGCTCTGGGATTTTACACACTAGGGGGCCTACTCTGATACCTGGAGGTATGGACAGCAGACAGTAAGTGGACATGTGCCTCAAGAGCTTTAGCATGCCAGTGATGCAGTTGACAAGTGTGAGGCTTACATGGTTTGCCCTGGACTTGATGGGTTTGGTTTTGAAAGATTTTAATTGACACAGGCAGATGGCATGAAATATACACAGAAAGTTTAACATTTGACAGTGTTGAACTTGAAGAACAAACTCTTGTAATGTTAAGTGTTTATCAACCTTACATGTGAGTGCCTGTGTTGCTTTGTGTGCAGTACAAAAAAACCTCCATGTATGAAATCTGACTTCATATTATGTACTCTGCTGAAGAGGAGTGATGATTTCCATGTAGCTGTTACCAGAAATTTATCTTGTTTGGGGTTTTTTTGGGGAACAGAAGGTGTTAAGATAGCCAGAGATACCCATGCATATAGTATTCTTATAGGAAATCCAACATTTAAGTAGGCAGAGATGTCAGAACCTTGGTTCTGTAGCACTGGTGTTAATTATTTGTGTGGTTTTTAAAAAACTGAAACTGTTATTGTCGATTTCAGCTCCAGGGACTGGAATGGATGGTTTCACTCTATAATAACAATCTGAATGGAATTTTGGCTGATGAGATGGGGCTTGGAAAGACAATACAGACTATTGCACTCATCACTTACCTGATGGAGCACAAAAGACTCAATGGCCCCTATCTCATCATTGTTCCCCTTTCGTAAGTAAAGGATCTCTTTCTGCTATTGTCGTTCTAAGCATTGCAGATTGATTTATTCGGATCATACATTTGTTTTTCATGTAATGACAAGATGAGGTGCACAGTGGGATTACAGTGAGTGTGTATTCAGTATTTTCTTTCATCATGTCTTCCCAGGTGATTGTCTGGCATTGGAAAGGTGACCAGAAGGCTGTTAAAGCACCTGATTCCATTATTTTCACTGTCCACTCTTTGGGCAAAACTGGGTAGTGAATTTATTGTAATTCACTCTTAAGCCACAAGAGGGGGGATGATGCTTATTTCATATTACATGTCTGAGTTCCCCATTCAACTTTTAACTGTGATATTAAAAAGCTGGTGCTTAATTCTTTAAACAACTGGCACCCCATTGGATACCAAGTAATCATGCTTTAATGAGATTGGATGATCAAAGTACTGTATAACTAGCCCTGGATGTAGCCTTGATGAGTGATATTCACACTTTGATCAGGTGTCCAGATTATGATTGTTTATTGTGCTGCCCCCCTTTTACTTTTCCTTAGTTTTCCAAGGTGCTGCTTGTTTTATACATTTGTTTTCATGCATTTTCCTTTCTCTAAAGATGAGGTGTGGCTTTTAGTGACTTGAAGTGCTGTGTTTTAAATAAAAACTGTCAGGCGTTGTAACACTGATGTAGGATATAGAGGATTGTTTGCTTATTTTTGTATGTAAGTGACTTGATAGATGTGCAGAAGTTCCCTGGCCTTTTCGTTAGATAATTTGTCCACCAATGGTGGTGAGCGTGCAAATGTGTTGTAGGATTGGGATAAATTTTATTTGTGGCCATCTCTTTTGATTTCTTTTGAGGTATCCTGTCTTCTGGCTGTGCTGTAGTAGTAACTGATTGACTAACAAATAGGATCTGAAATTTCTTTCTTGTATATGTTTTGAAAGATGCCTTTCCCTGCCTTTTTGTAATAGCTAGTACTGCTGCCATCACAGGTCCAGTAAGAAAAAAAAAAGGCAAGTAACCAAAAAACCTCAGGGTTATTTTGTGCTGCTGTATCACGATAACAGCTAGGTTAGTCATAAAAACAGCAGCAACACGGTGCAAAAACAGACCTGCATAGTGACACTGGGTGGCGCTTGAGTGGTTCTGCTCGAGTAGAACACAAACTTCATGAGGCTACATTTGAAAAGTTGTAATGTCAGTTTTTGGATCATAAGCAGTATAAAAGAACTTACAAATATATTTTTCGTTCAGGGTTATCTTTCTTATCCTTAACATGCTCCAAAATGCAAGGATGCATGTAAAATACTACTCTGAATTGGTTTCAAAGAGGCTTCTGAATATGAGCTGAAAGAGGGTTTCACACTTTTTTCTGTTTACTCCCCTCTCAGAGATGCTTATATTTTATTACAGTGCATTTTTTAAAATATACTGTTAATTGTGGCTGTTGATTACAGGAAATGTGTTGAAAAGTTGGTAACCACTTGGAAAAATTTATAAAGTTTGACCTGCAAATGTTGAAATATATTATTTTTTCTTTATAATCTCCATGATAGGACTTTATCTAATTGGACGTATGAATTTGACAAATGGGCTCCTTCCGTGGTGAAGATCTCTTACAAGGTTTGATTTGCTTTTTATATGATTATAGAGTTGAAGGAATGACAGCCAGCTTTTCCTCTGCCTCTGCATACATTTCTAAGTTGTGTGCTATTTAAGTCATGTATATCAGCTACAAAGCAGTGAGAGTTAATCGTACTAAGAAGACGACTGTAATAAACTGTAATTACTTTCACATAGTGAAATGCAGAATAAAATTGTTAATTATCACTTTGCAAGGCTTCTGATGAGAGTAATACAAATGATAACTACTTCACATTTTATACATAAATGAACACTTTGCTCTTTGGCTACTGTAGCAGTGGTACAGCCAAGCAATTTGTAAGGAGACTAGGCCGCTAGCTACATGTTTCCAGTGCCCCATAAACAGAGCTTGACAGTGTAGCAAGCACTTGGGTAAAACACTCTGAAGAAGTATGGAATACATTGATGTACTGTAGGATTACAAGTTCATGTGGTTGCTCTGTGTCTGCTTTTCATAAAAATGATAAATTTTCTTCATCAGAAGAAAGAGTAACCACTCACTTTTCTCTCTCTTTTAGGGTACACCTGCAATGCGCCGCTCACTCGTTCCGCAGCTTCGAAGTGGAAAATTTAATGTTCTTTTAACTACTTACGAGTACATAATAAAGGACAAACACATCCTTGCTAAGGTAATAATGACTGTCATCTCTTAACAGCAAGACCTTCAAGACACCTTCAAATGGTGCATAGCACAAAACACATTTTTGTTCTATAGGGAAGCCCTGAGTTGTTGTTCTGTCCTTCAATAAAAGTTAAACTTTTCATTTACTTTCCTATTCCTCTGTTTATGGTTGGACTTCTCAGTCACTGCTCTTTTCCCTCTAAGCACCAGGATTTTCCTGAATGTTGCCAGGAGACTAATTCCTTTGTGCAGTTCTGTCAGTACTGTATACCTGCCTGTCCTTGGAAAAACATGACTTTTCTCCCCTCTGCTCAATGGCATTTAACCTAATCTGCAGTCCTGACTTTAATTTTTTTCCACTTTTTCTTCCCTGAAGCTCACTCTTAGTAGAGCCTTTCCAACTATGTGGTCAGTTTTCCCCAAATGACTAAATAGTTACCTGTATCGTTAATTTGGTATCCAAACTCTTTACTACATATGGCCCAGTTCTTAAAGGCTCACTAACTGCCAACATGTGCCTCAAATGTAAAGAGTTAATTTGAAAGGAACTGTACCCTAAGTCAATTTCATCTACACACAAAGCAAACTAAAGAGTATTTTGCCATAAGGAGAAACCATATGGTCCTACTGTCCCTTTGTTGTTCACTTTCGCTTTATTTCATTCTATTACATACTGCGTATTTAGATTGTTATTACAAAGACAGTGCATTTTCTTCGCATAATTCTGAACACTTGAGAACAGATTGAGACTGTGGAGTTTTCCTTCCCCTCTAGTTTTTGCCCACCCTTGCTAAAAGAGAGGAAGGACAGTACTATGCCATTCAGTCTGTCCTGGGAAATGGAATTAGTTAGCACCTATGAAAGTACAAACCGAGGCCTTCCTAGTCATATAATCAGTGTGGCACATCTGTTTACTGCCCATGTTGTTGTACAGGTGGTAACAGAGAGCTTGAACAACTTTCTTTCCACATCTGCTGTGACTGCATTTAAGCTTTCACTTCAAGAAATAGAAACTTTATTTGAAGGTGCAGTAACTGAGATGAGATGTTTGTAATTATGCTGCTTTGTTCTTGATTAAAAAAAAATAGGATTAGCTGAAACAAAACAAAGTTCAGGATTGCTTTTGTTTGTGAGGATAGTTATTTTGTCTGAAGATGCTTCTGTCTTCTGTCAAGGTTGTTGTTGCAGGTGGGTTTATTTGGAGTTTATATGGCTTCTTTCTTCCTCTGTGAACCATACTCTGGCCTTGAAGAACTGTCACCCTAATCTCTTTCCCAGATATGGGAGGAATCCACTGTTTGCTGTTGCAATTCAAGTCAGAATTCCCTATCAGATTCAGCATACTTAGTGTTTGTTTCTATTTTTGCTGCTTGCAATGGCACTGGTTCTTGGATAATGTTTGATTTGGCTTTTTTAATAAATGAGAATTACTTATGTCTCAGGCTTGAAATATTTTTGTTCTATACCTGTTGGGAGTAATTTGACTAAGTCTGACCTGCTCTGACTTTGCCAACTTCTTTTCCTTGCAGATTCGGTGGAAGTACATGATAGTAGATGAAGGCCATCGGATGAAGAACCACCACTGCAAGCTGACTCAGGTCTTGAATACTCACTATGTGGCCCCAAGGCGAATACTGCTGACTGGGACTCCGTTGCAGAACAAATTGCCTGAACTTTGGGCTCTTCTCAATTTCCTCCTCCCAACCATTTTCAAGAGCTGTAGCACCTTTGAACAGTGGTTCAACGCTCCATTTGCCATGACTGGAGAAAGGGTACTGTGGCAGTTTTTTTTAAAACATCAGAAACAAACCACTTTGATGAAAAGAGAAAGGAGCTTTTACAGAAGGATTAGTGTTTGAACTCTCCCTGATACTTAGGGAATTAACATAACTAAAAGCCGCCTTTTTTATAATGCCAGAAAATTTTAATACCGGTGTCTCTTTTGACTCAGAGTCAGTTTGATTGTAACATGCAAGTAATTATTGCACATACTTAACCTTTCATGTGAGAGAAGACATTACCTAATATACTGAGTTGTTTTGTCGTGACTTTTATAAACTTCTGTAGGTGGACTTAAATGAGGAAGAAACTATTCTGATCATCCGTCGTCTCCATAAAGTACTCCGACCCTTCTTGCTGAGAAGATTGAAGAAAGAGGTTGAGTCTCAACTGCCAGAAAAGGTTTGCAATGAGAGGAGTTGTGGAGGGGTTTTAATACTTTTTTAAAGCATTGTGTAGTGTTCCTTTTTCAGATTTATTTTACAGAAGAGGACTTCTTTAGTATCTGTTATTGCTGTGGTTTGTTTGTTTATAACTTTGCAAAGTTGGCCACTGAGGAAGCCTGAATACCTGACATTTCTGCACCTCACCAGTCTTAGCAGCTTTAATTCCTTTTGTAGTCATTCATATAAGACGTGCCACTTATTTCCGTAATACCTGTTTTCAAGTTTAAGTGAGTCAACCATACACTGAGGATTAGATTCTGTCCTGTTTCATCCTCCTTGACCAGGTAGAACCTTTGCTCCCTTAGCTAGTTCACTGAAATTCCTGAAGGACTACTGGACTTTATAAAGCAGGCAGAATTTGGTCCTGTGTGAAGTGTCTTGTTGAAATGGCACAATTTTTCTTTAACTAGTGGCTTTTTAATTCAGAATACAAAATCATCTTCTGATTTGAAAGATCATTGTTTTTATCTCTGGGCAACTTATCTTATCCCACCCTGTCTTCTTTTGCAATCCTGCATGACTTTTTTCCCATTCACCCTTCCCAGAATAACAACAACTAAATAAAAAAGTAAATTTGAAGGTGTGCTAGGGAAAATTTGGTGCTAAGGTCAACCAGGTTAAAACCATACATACCAAAATGAAATTTTTCTAAGTTGTGTTGTGGGCTAACACTGGCTGAATGAACAGAGAGCTCTGTACAGATGCTTAGTGACAGTACTCAAAGGAGAGGCTTTTTAAAAATTTCTTCCTCACCTTTATAATGTTGTGCACACTATTACTGTTGTGACTTTCTGCTCCTTCAAATGTCAGATTCTCAGTATCCTCAGAAGCATTTATTTGAGAATGAAACATACTTACATCTGAAAATATTACTGAAATCTTTTTCTCTTCAAATTTCTGCCAGTTGGAGCCACTGTATTTGATAAATCCATTAATAGGCGTTGGAGGAGGAGGATTTACAAGTTGTAGACACACTGATACTCAGAGGACTGTGTTTATTTCCATTATCTTGTTTACAAAAAAAAGCAATTAGTCCAACCATGAGAACTGAACTTGTTGACCAAAGCTTGTTAATCGTTTGATCTTACAAATCTTCATAAAGAAGCCATTGAAGAAATAGTGACTTCTCTTTAATGCATTCATCCTCCTGTCTTTCTGAGAAGAAAATAACCTGATAATTTTTATTCTTTTTATTTATTAAACATTAGGAAGCTTATGCTTTTTCTTTTAGTTGCCACTTGAAAGATTTCTAGCCACTAGTGTGGCTTTATTATATGACTAGTTTTATTTTACATAACTTATTAAAAACATAGTGACTGTAATCTGGAAATTGGGTAATAGTAAAAAATGCATTAAATTGGGGTATGAGGTCTTTGTATTACTGGATTTAAAGATAGTGTGCACTTTAATAAATGTAGTTTTCCAAAGCTGAACAAGAAGTCAGACCAAATGTGGGGATGATACAGCACTTGACTAATTTGCTGTGGTTTTAGTTGATGTTGAGAAAATGGCATATTTCTATGCCAACCTAGGTAAGAGTCATGCTAATTTGACACTGTGAGGAATGCTTATTTGCTAGGTATAGGATGATGGTATTTTTATAATGCTTTACAGAAATAATGAAATCTGCAGGTTATTAAACATATTTTTAATTACATGTTAAACATGAAATAAAATATTTTTAAAATTATTTTTAATTGTTAAAATTACAGAATGAGAAAAAAATGTTTGGCAATTCTGCAGTTACATTCCTAAGATCCAACTGTCTCATAGTAGTTGTGAGTCTCACAGATAATCTTTTGAGATACTCATTGCTGTGCCTGCAGTTGGATTGCTGCTAACCGAAATCATGTGGTGCTAGGGTACGAATAAAAGATCAGTAGCTTTTTGGTTTGTGTTTTAGGATGACAAGAACCTACAGTTAGATCCTACTAATGTTATTATGTCAGTGTGTTTATGGTTGGATTTTTTTTTTTTATACTAGGTGGAATATGTTATCAAATGTGATATGTCAGCTCTTCAGAAGATCCTGTACCGTCACATGCAAGCTAAGGGAATCCTTCTCACAGATGGTTCTGAAAAAGACAAAAAGGTACAAAAGAAAGGCTAAAACATGTAGGAAACCATGTATTATGATTAAACATGTAACATTATGATTTCTGTTTTATAAAATTAGTATGTAGGCTCTTACTGCAGGTATCTGTCATGGGAAAAGACGTCTCTGTCAGGCATGCTTTTGTTTTACAAGACCTAAGCTTGTGCTCTTTATTCACAAGGAAAAGGTAGTACTTGTATTCACTGTAGTTACAGTGCCTTTCTGCAAACAGGCAATGTTTGAAAAAAAAACTCAGCATTTGCCTTGGCCGAGTTTAGTCCAATAATATACCTGAATAATAGTGATTGTGGCAGTGCTGGCTACAGAAGGATATTCATCTTGCAAAACTATTAGTTAAGTTTAAGTCTTGTTTTGGCCAGCTAAGGCTGTATGCTTATGTACTTAAAGATCTGTTAATGATAAAAGTTCTTCAAGAGAACAGCAGGATTTACAGTCATACAGCCAGATTGAGGCCGTATATTAGTAAATGTTGACTGTGCCGTCATGGGACTTGATCCAGTTAATATAAACAAGTTGCCATTCATCAGCCTGTTTGTGTATACACTTTTCACATTATAATAAATGTGAAATACCTTGAACAGGCACTGCAGAACAGCTGGTGTATAACAGTTTGTGTTTCCACCCTGTTAAGTGTATATTACTGATGCAGTGCCATTCCATACTGTCTTTCCACTATCCTCTTGCAGGTTGCATTGATACAATATATAACTTTTCTTTTTATTCAGTATCTTATTTTACCTTCCTTGTTTTGTGCAGTCAAATTGTTTTCTTTGATGGTGCTTATTGAAAGTCCAGACAAAGCTAGTTCTTGTCATTGGATGTTGATACTCGTCTTCATAGGTTGAGCACTTTGTAAACATTAATTTATGTTTCTCAGTTGTATTTTTAATTTAATTTTGTAGTTTGATGTCTTTACTTTTGTCCTACAGATTTCATTTTGTATCACTGTCTCTTTCCTCTTTCACCAGCTCAGAATCTTCTGTTGCTTTTCCCCTACTTACTTTTCCACCCAGCTTTTTGCTTAACCAGTTCAAATTGTTTCTGCTGTCTTCTGAACACCTCCATCTCCTTCCCCGCTGCCCAAGGGTCTAAATTTTTTCCTTTCTTGCCACCATCTCTGAAGTAATTTTTTTCTTTAACTACTTCATTAGGCTCTCTTATCGATGCTACCTGTTGCCAGCAGAGGGAGGTGGTTGTTGAGAATGCTTGGCTTCAGTGATCAGACATGTATTAGGAAAAAATCCTGTCTTTCTGCAGCTCTGGCCTGGAAACAGCTCAGAATAGAGAGGATTCATTAAGCTGGAAAGCTCTAGGAAGTGGCTCTTAGAACAAGTATGAACTGCACTTTGGAGCAAATTTGAGAGGATTTTCAAAAGAGCAAAAGTTTTAGGTTTGTGGAGTACCCCCTTCAAACATAAAATCTCTGCTCTAGATAAAGTTATGATTTCACTGTAATTTCCAGGAAAGAGTAGAATATTGTCATTCTGATTACATTTTCGTAGAATTACAGCAAAGCAAAGTGGCATCTGAAAGTGATAAGTGTTTGGCAATGTTAATATGATATGATGATCTCAAACTTGTATCCGCCCGTTACAATTAGTTTTTAACCATACAGTTTAGTCTAGCACAACTGACTATTGTCTGTCCTGGTTCTAAAAAAGATTCACTGTAGAATAGGTTTTGAGAATATATTTTGTTAAATATTAAGATGACTCCTGAGATTTGATTATCTCTAGCTTTTCATCTGCCTGTGGCCTTGTGTTTTACTTGGCCTGGAAAGAGAAACCCATGTATCCAGTTAACAGACAGGAGGAGATACTATGGAGTTGAAAAGTATCCAGCTAGAATCGTTTCCTGTTAGAATGTCCAGACCAGATGGGATTTGTATGGTTTCATAATAAGCAGTATAAATAAGCAGTATGCAGAACAGTAAATGCTCTGCTTCCCACTGTGAATACTGCAGGTAGATGCATAATGCAGTTCATGGATTCCTTCCAGGTCTTCCTTTTCCATTATGGAGCATACTTATGATAAATGACTAAGTCAACTGCACAGTGGTGTCTGGGGTTTTGTTGTTTTGGTTTTTTAGTTTGTTTTTTCTTTTTTTTTTAAATTATTGATGCAATATTCAGATTTGGCGTGGAAGTATTTTTATACCTGCATTTAAAAATATCTTTCAAAACCTTCATTAGTAAGTTAAGAAATTAGATTCATCATTTGATTTGCATTGTTTGTACCCACAGGGAAAAGGTGGGGCAAAAACTCTTATGAACACTATCATGCAATTGAGAAAGATATGCAATCACCCATACATGTTTCAACACATTGAGGTAAGACTGACTTGATTTTGAGAGTTGTTTTTATTAGGTGGCTGAATAATAGAGCACTGCTGTTGAAGCTAATATGTGTGGGAGAGTACATCTCTGTCCACAGCATTTGTGGACACATTTGAAAAACGATCATTACAGTCCCTTATTTTTAGAAACAAATGGACCAACCACCAGTTTTTTATTGGTAATCTGAAGTCTAGTTTTAAAGCATTTAATCTTGTGGAGACAGTGTATTTAAAAAATGGAGGGCTTTTTTTTAATATAAGAGCAACTTAATCTCTACTGAGACCAAATTTATGATGTAGAGACACTAGTTTAAATGCCATGTGTAGGATCTTTATAAACAGCAGGCTGCTAGTCTTTTACAGTATCAAACAAAATTGTCCTATTCTATCCACCTTGGTTTTTTTCAGCAAAAATGTGTTTTCTATATAGCACCTCTCATTAGGACCCAAAGTACATATATATAATGATGTATCTGGAAAGATAGAAAGTGTCATAAATATCTGGAATGTATGTACCTTTGTGAATTAATAATTAAGTACCTACTGTGATACATTATCATTGTAGTTTTCACTCTTTATTCTCTTGTATGCTAATTAATTAGAGTAATTTGCAAATGGATCTTCCAGTAATTACTATTAATAAATTAATTAGGTTCTACTGTATTTGTAATCTGGTAAAATGTATGCTGACAGAAGTTACTTCTGCAAACCCATGAATTTCAAATAATAGTAGTACAGGAATACATTAAGCTTGTTGTTACAAGGAGAATTCCAAAAGTATGAAAATAATGTTGCTCTAACAGGTCATATATTTAATTTAATTGATATAAGAATGCAGAATTTTGAGTTACTGTATAGTTCATAATAGTCTGTTTATTGCTTATAACTTTGCAGGAGTCCTTTGCTGAACATTTAGGCTACTCAAATGGTGTCATCAACGGGTAACTCTTTCAGTTTTTCCTTCTGTTCATAATGTATTGGAACTAATGTATTGTGATACATTCTAGAAGGTACATGCTAACAAACTCGAGCAGTTTCTAGAAAGACAGAGGAGGGACAGGGCACATATCTAAAGCAAAAGGACAGTACTAGAAGTGTTACATGAGCTTTTTATGAACCTTCATCTCTTTCAGGAGGACAGGCAGAGAAGACTGTAAACTGATGTCTTCCTTTCCTCTTATTTTAAAATAAATTAGATACCATCTGAAATTCATTGGAATGACTCTTCAGAGATATCAGATGGGATTTTCTTCTCTTTCTTGTTACTTGTTACTTTTGCCATCTACTTCCCTCTTTACCGACTTTATTCCAAATTAACGTAGCATTTCTTCCATTATTTGAAATGAAATAGATTAAAATTTTATTCTTGGCACTTCCTTGTGCAACTGTCTAGAAGTGGATGATTTCTGAAGGAAAGGTGTCTATCTTCCACCTGACCCACTTCCTGTTAATGTCTTTTTTTTTTTTTCCCTGAATCAGTATAGCAGACTATTTGTCTCCTTAATTAGTATACCAGACTATTTGTCTCCTAAACAGTTTAGTCTTTTGCTAGTTATGTATGTATGCCTGTCAGAAGGCCATGTATCTTGTGGACTTAAGTATACTGTTGCTAATGATAAATCATATTTTGAGAGTACAGACTCAATGTTAGAAAAAAGTTATGTGAAATTCATTTTTGCAAAGCATATCACTGTGATACTGATTTAGACATCCATTTACTTTTACTCATTTTCTCAGTTATGACTTGAATTTCAGTACTAAGAGTCTGTTTTGTAATTCATAGCATAGAAGACAGAACAGCAGCTAATCAAAGCAACTCAGGACTACTAAGGTTGTGGCTAAAGACTACATCCTCTGTCAGCCTCCTCCCATTATCTTTGTATATTAGTTCATTTTGGAATATTTCACTTTGATTGTATAGTAATTGAGTGGAAAGGGAATTGTTTCTAACATGTGCCTGATCAATACAACTTAACAGCTGCAGTAAATGCCAGTTGAAAGCAAAACTATCAGGTGAATGTCTTAACTGATAAAATGCTTAATGTTTGTTTTTATAAATAATGAATAGAATTGGGTTTCATGAAGGAAGGTCTTCTGTGCGGTGGAAAGTCCACATAGTTTTTGTAATTGAAGAAAAATCCTTTTCAAACAGGGAATAACACATCAGTGTTGTTTTTTAGTTTGGTTTTTTTTTAGTAACATAAACAATTTTAAAGAGAGAATAGTGATACTAGTCTTGTTTCACTGTTTATCTTAAGTAAATGAATCTTTCTGTTAAACTTTGACATGATAATGACTAAAAACTTTTCTAAATGAGGGCTGATTCTGGCATTTACTGTGCTTTTTCTCTTTAACAGAGCTGAACTTTATCGGGCCTCAGGGAAGTTTGAGCTACTCGATCGTATTCTACCTAAGTTACGAGCAACTAACCATCGTGTGCTTCTTTTCTGTCAAATGACATCACTGATGACCATTATGGAAGATTACTTTGCCTTTCGAAATTTCCTTTACCTGCGCCTTGATGGTAAGCTAAACAAAAAAAAAAAGGATAAATAATTAGTTAGGAGGTAGCATGCTTCATTAGTTTGGGCATGGGAGACCTGGGTTCTCTTCCTAGTGTCTTCCTAGCACACCAGTGCTGTGATGTGACTATACGAAGTGTAGACAGGTTGGAAGAATGATTTGACAAATCCATGAAGGAACAGTCTGCACAGGTTTTTATCATGAAGTTGTGGCAGTAGACCCTTAAGCTACGGCTTACTAGAATTTTCTCTTTCTTACAGACAAGATACTGAACAAGATGTACTTTTGCCTCTCTCGGTAGAGTTGATATTAAGTAATTCTCCATCTCCCTGGCTTTTTGACTGTTTTCTTTCATCTGTTTAACCTTCAAACCATTTGGTCAAGGAATTGTTTTGATTAACACTTAGGTCTGTTCCTGGAATGCAGATTATGTAGAGATTTGATGTTTAGGGACTGATCTCTCTTTCAAACAAGGTTTAAAAGCCAAGGTCCAAATGAGTTATCACTATCTAAGTTGCCTGAAAGTATTCGCATGATGAGAGATGATAGTGCCAGTGATTTACCTAGATTCCAGTGGAATTACTTAATTTGTGCCTGTTTAAAGTTCAACTGCTGTTCTCCTCAGGATAGCTGAATTTCAGTGCAGGTAAAGTAGTAGTTTTCCTGTGGTAGACCTGTAATTTTCTTCCTGATTTTCACAGGAGAGTCAGTAGCCTCAATTACTTTATGTGTAGATATGTTTTATTATCTTTGAATGAAAAGCTGGTTTAGAAACATAGTGGAGTAATAACTAAAAAAACCCCAAACCCTAAAATAACTAAAAATAGCATATCTCATCTGAGGCTTAAACCTGTTTCAAAGAAGTTTCCATTTTGGCCTTCTTCAATGTTGATGATCTCTGCCTCATACTGACCTTCTTAAGTGTTAATTATTTTTACTCAATGTATTTATCTCACAAATGATAGTATTAGACAGGGCCAGCAGCATTTATCAGCATACCTTTTTAACAGAAAAACAATGATTTAAGAAAAATGTAAAGAACAGCATGACTAAAGTGAGAGTTTAAGGTTCTTCTGAATATTCTTTTTACAGCATTTTAAGTTGACTCATGACTTCGTGCTTTATTTGGAAGAAAAAGTAATGCTGAGAAGTATTCCTGTCCTTTACAAATATTAATGAACATAAACTTGAAACGCTATTATCCTCAAATTTAAAATGGGGCAATGAAACTGAGACAGAAATGAGCTGTCTTGTCTCACAGTGCCACAGGATGTCTTTGTCAAAACTGGCTAAAGAACACAGTACTATGCTGACAGCACTCTCCTTGCACCTCTGGCCTGCAACTGTTTTAATGCTTCCGTTCAAGAAAGATGAATTATATTACATTTAAAATTGCCTTGCACCCTGTATTTTAAAATTAATTCTTTTTCGTGCTAGAATGTCTATAGCTATGCACAGTATGGTAACTACAGCTCCTTGTTTTCTTTAAGGTTTTGCAGGTAATTCATTAAATTAGTGGGATTTTTCTTCTTTGTGATGACAGTTACCTTCCATTCTGGAATGTCATATTTATGTAGATTCGATCCAGCTGTCTTTTCAGATAGAGTGTTTTCTACCTAAGTCATGTGCTTCTCAAAGGAAAGAGTTTCTGTGGGTCAGCAGTTTGCCATGTGGTTGTACTGGGTCTGGCTGGGATGAAGTTAACTTTCCTTCTAGCAGCCCATAGAGTGCTGTGCTTTGCATTTGTGGCTAGGCAGGGTTAGCACACCAGTGATAACTCTTCAGTGTTTTTGGCTGTTGCTGAACAGTGCTTGCACAGTGTCAAGGATTTCTCTCCAAACCACCCCTCCACCCCCAAGGCCAGTAGGGTGAGGGTGGGCAAGAAGCTGGGAGGGGATGCAGCTGGGACAGCTGACCTAAACTGACCAAAGGGTTGTGCTCAGCAATAAAAGCTGAGGGGAAAGAAAAGGATGCAGGGACATTCCTCATTACAGCATTTGTCTTCCCAAGCAATCATTACGGGTGCTGAGGCCCTGCTTTCCAGGAAGTGGCTGGACATCTGCCTGCTGATGGGAAGTAGTAAATATATTATTTTTGCTTTGCTTGCATGCACAGCTTTTGCT